GCAAAGACGATGGCAGTATCATCCGCGTATGAGAAGATACGACCTCCGTCGATAGTCATATTACATAGGTTATTAATATATATAAGGAACAATGTCGGACCAAGTACACTTCCCTGCCCAACATCGTACGAAATTGTTTCTTCTAAGCTAGTAAGTTCCCCTATTTTGACTATTTGTTTGCGATTGCTTAGGTAGGATTTGAACAGCTCGAGAGGAGTTCCTCTTAAGTATATGTTTTCGAGCCTTTGTAGAAGTATGGGGACAGATACTGTGTCGAAGGCCTTTTTGAGATCAAGGAAAACTGCTAGACGTTGGCTACCCTTATCCACTTGGTCAACTATATTAGATGTTAAAGATAAGACTGCATCCTCAGTAGACCTTCCCTGCCTAAACCTAAACTGAGAAGGCAACAGAATGTTATACTTAGAAAGGTATCTAATTAGGCGTGAGTTTATAAGTCTTTCTAAAATTTTCGAGATAGATGGAGATACTGAAATTGTCGTATAGTGTGACGGGTCTGATCTGTCTCAACACTTGTACACCGGCGTTATTAGGGCTAGTTTCAATGCATCCGGGAAAAGTCCATGTTCAGAGCAAAGGTTTGTCAAAGATTGGAACAATTTTCTCGTGAGCAGCTTTAAGAAATTTAACTGAAATATGTCTGATTTTAAGCCCATTAGTGTCGAGGAGAACAAAAGATGTGGTGTGAATGTATGGACAGAAAAGGATGAGTTAGGATAGTTATTAGATTACATATACATATGAGCGATATCATATTTATTCTGTGACGATATTAAAAAGTTTTACTTATTACGAGTACTTTAACATTTAATTATTACTAAATAATAAATATTTATTTTTACTACAATAAACCTATGAATTATTTTTACTACAATAAACCTATGAATTTTAGCAACGTAGTTTATTACAGTTGTATACTTGTATATTGGTACTATTAGCGGTATGGATTTTCAGTTTGCATTCGAAAGTGCCCGGGTTCGATTCCAGGAATATGAACTCAAATTTTCTTTTTGTCTTTTATATATTTAGTATTATATATTTAGATACATATATTAATTACTTTATAGGTATGTAAAAAAATTAAATAATTTTTTTTAAACCTATGAATTTTAAATACGCTGTTTATTACAGTTACAGTAGTGACTAAGTATTCAAATAATTTAATATTTGGTAGAGGCACAGTTAATATACATATTTATACTGTGGTAGAGGTTTGGATTTGCAGTTTCGACTCGAGAGTGCCCGGGTTCGATTCCAGGAATGTGAATTCAAGTTTTCTTGTTTGTATATTTAGTATTCGTTAGTAGTTTAATATATTTAGATAAACTAATTAAACACTTTTAGAAATAAATAAAAAACACAATATTTGCCATTTCATTACCCACGAGGCGACTGTGGAAATGGAAAATGTCAGAAGGGTTTATCTACGTCTTTCGATAGATGGCGATGTAATCACCTCGACTGCGCCAGATGGAAAATATCGTATCCGATAATGGGAGCGGCGTCAAAAGTGAGGATATACTTTGTAATATATGAATTTAAATGTTTCAAGTTTGATAGCACTATAATACCATAAAAGTCAGTATGTTAATCTTATATTTGTTTTTTTTTTATCGACAGATAGCGTTGATGTATGTTCTTCCCATATTTGTCTTTTTATCGACAGATGGCGTAGATATATTCTACATCACGCTATGGTTACGCTGATCAACGACGTACGTATCGTATACCGCAATAATGCTTGTCACCCTTAGACTGGAAACGAGGTTATTCTATATTATTTTTCTAAGGAGGTTCCAATGTTAATTCATTGGAAACTCTACTTTACAAGATTGTATTATGTATGTGTAGTGTAGTGTAGAGTATAATATTGTAAATATTTACGGAAAGTAGTTTGCGATAATAAAGTCATTATTCATTAAGTCAGTCACCCGAGGCTATTGTGACATAATATTACATGACATAAAATAATTCAAATTTTGAACAATAGTGGATATTATTAGGCTTTAGTTAGCACCACATAATAAATATTACTTTTTACTTCGTGCTTCTGCTTTCCTACTTTAATAATAATTTAAATAAAATTATTATTATTTTAGTTATTAGGAATTAACATAATAACAATCTTTAAAAGATAGAATCATGAATGTATTAAATAAACGTATAGGTACACTAATTGATAATAGCGAAGGCAGGTAGGCGTGGGCATTTTTTTTAATGTGCACTTTTTAATGTCACTCAGGACGGAATAATTTTGTAATTAAGTTATTAATCATTTTTCTAGGAGACGCAAATATTACAAAAACGAACAAATCCCGGGAAGTGCAGTAGAAACTATCGAAGAAAGTACGTCTAGCCCGACTGTCCAAAAATTTGAACCACGGAGAAAAATGTTCAAAAGCCTCGAAATCCTGAAAAGAAAACAGTGCATTGTCAATATAGATTTAACTGGTGATGAAGTAAATTGCCACAACACCAACACAATACAACAACACGACAGAAAACAATAACTCCTGCCTATGCTGTCATTTGATAATTTGTTGTTCGGCTATGAATAAAAAGTTAAAAAAAGAGTTTTATTTTTAGAACAGTACCTATACCCTTATTAAAATTTCGATCAACGCTTTAACTATCATGGTCCACTGCTGAACGTAAGACTCCTCCATAGATTCCCTTACAAGGGGGTTTATTTGTTTTGTTATGATACGGCGCTACTTAGAAATGTGGTAAAATATTTGACAACACAGCGAAGGGACAATAAAGAGTCACCCGTTGTAGTTACTCACCATACGAAACACAGCAGCATTAAGCTGCTATTTTAAGCTGGCATTCTGTGAGAGCGTGGCCCTTCCTCGCTTGAGCTTGAGCGGCATTCGTGCTGTAATCATGATATAACTGTTGCGTGACTCAACTACGCTTGAATTTTTTTAATAGCAATATTTTTTATTTAAAATGGGCTCAATCTGAACCTCCATTTGCCCCGGGGGCAAAGATGAGCTCTACGTTGGAGTTTGCCCAGGATAAGCCTGTTAACACGCACCTTGAATATATAGACTAGTATTTATCTATCTTTTTAGTATTTGTCACCCGTAATGGCCTGACTTGACCACCCTATCGTAGGGTAGGGGTGGCTTAGGTTCAGCAGTGATCTTTTACTGCAAGTTTAAGTACATGAAAATAGAACTACAAGAAACTACGGCGTCGTTTTCCCGTTCTGTCAGAGTACTTTCTAGTCTATTCTAATTAGGATTTTTCAACATTATTGTTTCAAATTAAATTTTTAATAAAAGAAAATAATAAAATAATTACCACGTTACAACTTCAGAAGTTTGTGCTAAGTCATAGCATATAAAATAATTAAAACCCCGACTTCAAAAGCTTTTATTCAATGGTCGATGAATTGAAGATATGGCGTAACAAACATCCAAAGCGTTTTATGTGGCAGAGCCATGGTGCAGCGTTGTGGATGTAGCACGAATGACTCGGTACAACAGGGAAGAACCACGCCCTCACAGCATACCAGCGTAAAATAGCAGCTTAATGCTGCTGTATTCCGTATGATGAATGTAGAGAACCAGAAAACTATGGAGTGTAGAAGTAAGGAGTACAGACTGTGTATTAAAAAGAGTCAATAGAAAACCGTTAAATAAGGCCACTATAGCTACGGGCTAAATTTTAAAGAAGTGCCAAAAAATATTAGAGGGATAGACGACTTTTTCGAGGTTATATTTACTAAATAAAACTATTTTAGATTTTAGAGCTACTGAGCAGTTTATCAGTACACTTCAAACCGTCGAGAACTGCTAAGTTCATTCCATCCCAGTAGCTACTCCAGCGCTGTTGTGGAGAGTTTATGAACTGTTATTATACTATGGGAGTTGGTACTCCTTACTTCTACACTCCATACAGAAAACTTTTTACTGGAAACTAGGCATTCCATCTTAATCCTCGGGGTGACAACGCATCAGCATTTCCATTCTTAATCGAGGATAGACGTAGATGTCTACGGGCCACAGCAGCCACTTACAATCAAGTGAAGTTTGTGCTAGTATAATAAAACAGTAATAAAAACGTACAGTCGAATTGTAAGCTCTCCTTTTCTTTGAAGTCGGCTAAAAGTATTAAAAATTTCATTTGGAATTTGTGTCGAGTACTCTATTGTTCTTCCAACAAATATTCCTACAAGTGTATCGAGTTGAGAGCTACAACAGTAAGCCGTTGAAAGCAAACTCGTGTCCAACGAGTAAAGAAGCTACGATTAAGGAACTGAACACCGTCGCAATTTAGTTCTGCGTAGTGTGGCTTAGACCTAGTACAGACTGGAGCGTTAGAATATTTTACCGTAAATAATGCATAAGTAAAGAAAAAACAACATTTAAGTGAAACTAATATTCTCGGATTTTATTGCGTAATTTAATATTACCACGTAAAAATTACCTAAATTCTTCCTTAAAGGATTCATATTATGAGTTGAGTAAATATGGGCAAGATACCGTTAATTATATAGTAGACTCCTAACAATGACAGATGAAGAAGAGGGAGACCTAGAAAACGCTCAGCATGGCTCCACCACGTAAAAATTACAAGAGTATTTTCGGTCTTACGTAAACGAGGTTGTTTTACCACCATCTATCCGGAACTCAGACATTTTGGCATTTCCATAGTCGACTCAAACGACACCATGAAATATTTTTAATGGAAGCATGGAAGTTCCTCGCGACCAGTTATTTACTTATTTATGCTGGCGGTGATCAAACTCGGTTACGTCGAATGATAATATACTTTTTATGTTTCGTACAAAATTAGATGAACTAACTGATATTTCGCTAGCCTTACCTAGCCTTACCTCAACGGTGTTGTACTCAGTGATTGTCGGTCTCAGTGACCCGTATCGTGATGTTGGGTCCTCTTACATGTGGGCTCATTCCATCCTCGCGAACTGCTACGGACACCGGCATTGAGAGCTAAGTGCTTTTAAGATGTTGTGCATATTTTACGCGTTTCTCTTTATTGTAAGTATTTTTAATTTTACGTGTTATTTGATAATCCACTTTTGTTTTTAAGACTTTGTACTGATGTATCTATTTATAAGTAAGGTTTGATTTATAATGTGATTAGATATACCTAAATACAGCTAAATAAAAGAGATATACCTACAGCTTAATTTCATTACATTTCTTTGAATGAATATAGTTTGTGAGCATTTCTATTATTTCAAATTAGACTTGATCCTTGTTCATTTTTAACAATACATTTTAATGATATTTAATACAATTATTACTTTCTTTCCTTTTGGGTGGTACCAATTACACAAAAACTGCTTTTTTGTTTTCGTTTATGTCTAGTATAAACACAAATACAAATGCATCATAGAATGCAATGCTGTTGTCGAACAATCTAGAGTAAAAACTATCTTTTTATAGTATTCCCTAAATTTTTGTGATTGTTTTGTATGTAAAATCATGGTACAATGTGTAATGTATATATCTGAAAATCTTGTTTGTAAATAGGAACTTAAAATATCGATTTCAAATTTTGTCGCTACAAAGAGTTTATATATATATACAGGCTAAAACTACTGCAACAGAGAAAGACTTCTGGAAGGAAATATTTAATACTAACGGATGGAGACCAATTAGCAGGGAAAGAGCCTTACATGGTTTCGATGACAGCAAAGTTTCTGATTTTAATTTTAAACAAGGTTACCAACAAACCACTAATAATTTCGGTTTGGAAGAACGTAATTTAGAGAGTCAAGAAAATTCAAGAAATTTATTTGAACCGGGCTCCGTGACTTTTTCCGGAGCTATCGCAAAAAATGAACATGGGCAAGGTAAATTAATTTCGGGTTGACTATATATAACTCAGATATAACGTGGAACTGTAACTAATATAATAATAATACTAATGCATCTGCGAGGAACATGATTACAGTGCACGAGTGTGTGCGCAAACACAAGCACACTCTCTTCCTCTTTTCCTCTCACAGTGCGATAGGACCGCAATGCAACACGACCGTAGAGGGATCAGGCGTATGATTAACGCATTACGATTTAAATTCGTCGATGGAACGGCTCAGAACCGTACTTTGTGACGATCTGTCGTGGAGTTCTATGTCTAGCAGTGATCTTGTGATGTTAGTGGTAAATAGAGTACTTTCCAGTGAGGCACCCCTTCTGCGTAATAATCTGACAGAGCGTACCTCACTCCACATGCCATACTTTTCTATTTCTGCCACGCAGTATTGTACCCACTGATCTAACTTAATCTTTGAAGAAAGGAAGGTTTAAGGTGCCAATATATTACTGAATAAAAGGTATAAGCTTGATAATTTACCTTCAGCCTTCTTTGCTCGAAGTAGGCTGCGGATATTCATAGGCTACAGTAGCTACTTACCAAGGTTTATAAGAATTGAGATCTCATTAGAATATTTGGCTAATGAACTTTTAACAAAATTTGTTTCAGATGTCAACAGAGATGATCGTACAGAAAATAGCGACTTTCAAATTATTTCAACTACTGAAAGATATCGAAAAGCTAAAGATATTTCCAGTAAAACTTTCTATAACGTTGTCAATGACATTGCTTCTACTCAAAATAAGACGAAACCTAACAGTGTGGACGTTGATACCCAACAAAAAGAAGTATATAAAAATAAAAATATCGATTCCAATGAGTACGAAGTAACTGAAAATAATGAGTACGAGGAATTTCTAAAAGGCGATGAAAGTAATTTTAACATTAATAAAGACTTAGATAATCAGTATTACACAATCAACAAAATGTTCCCAGCTAATAGAGGTAATGATGAGAACGATTTCACCAGTAAGCTCTTAAACATACTTTCAAATTATAATATTAGAGTAAACGATGTTTTACCAAATTACGAACTATCCCGAGAAACAACTAGACGGAGCCCTCCCAAACAAGAATTTTTATTATTGCCTATCCCCATTAGATATTCCAGCAGACATAACAGCCTCAATCACGTAACAGTTGATCCCCTGTTAGCGGTGTTCCTATCTAACTACGGTTATTACTTACCGGGTCAGTACGGCTCCCACAACAATTATCAAAATCTCTACGGATACTTGGCATCAAATAACATACATAATAATAAACCTTTCGGTTCGTATAAAATTTTTGCTGACACTGATTCATCTAATTGATGATAAAGGTAAACTTTGTTACGAGGGAAACGAAGCGTGGTCAACTATACAACATGTACCAAAAACCTTATGGTACCCGTTAACTACGTTATTTGAATCAATATATATGTAAATCAAACGTATAAATCAAATTAAATTAAAATAAATTTTTATTTGCAAATTCTGTGAGAGTTTATTATCTCAGTATTGGTCGTGGAATAAAGGTATTGTCAAAGACCTCGTTTTGGCAATGCGCGTGTCAGTTAGTTCAAATGATTTTTTCACAAGTCTATATTTAGTTACTTACTGTGAACATTAAAATTCCCTAAGTTACGACCAAAAAAATGTTACTGTTATAAATGCCATGCCTATATGTACATTTATAAGTCCTTAAAAGGATCAACGGGTTGCTTGCTACATACTGTATAACTCAATAGTAGACACAACTTAATTGATTTACTCTTTGAGCTGTCAAAATATAATTTTCCTATAGAAAGTGTATTTTTTGTGCTTGACTACCATCTGATAGTGGTGATGCAGTCGAAGATAGTTAAAAGCACTGATTTATTTTAAGAAAAGCCTTTTTACACTTGGTTTGAAGACAATATAATCGAATGAAAGATAAAACAGCAATTAATGACGAGATCATTTTGTTACTAAAAAAAAATTTAATTGTATATAAGTTTATTTATATAATTCTTAAAAAGATTCTCTTTTGCAAAACAAAGATAGTTTTAATGTCAGGATTCTATGATGTCAGGTACATTACCCCATAGCAAGATTATACAATATGACATTATGCTATGGAAATTACTAGAATACGAGTATATTAATCTAAATGTTTCAACGCGTGTAGTGTAGTTTTTTGTTTTAAATTAAATTACATTTTCATAATTTTATGATAAAAAATGTGGTTTAATTTGAAACAGAAAACCGACAAAGTTAATAATAAAATGATATGATGTTATAGTCTAGTAAAGTTGGTGCCTAATGTCCGATTATTATTATAGCAATAAATATATTATTTGATTGACTTTGTTAGTCCAGCTGCTTCTCCGGTCAAAACCAGTTATACTCAGGAGCAGCCCGAAATCAGAAAATAAAGTTGGCGGTGTTTCATCCCGTGTCTCGAAAGCACGTATATCCGTTGTTCCTGTACATGAATTCTTGTCCGATTTTTTTCCTATCGGACTATGAGAGTACAAGATCAGATGGTGTACTTGTGTCTGCGGACACATAGTGCACAAGACTATAATCTTGTCCTGAAATGATAAGCCTCTGTTGAGAATTGCCGCTGTGACCAGAATTGGTCTGGATGACACAATATGTGTCATCCAGATCAGATTACATTGATTTTTACTGAAAGTACAAGAACTTTTACATGATCTTTTATAATGTTTCTTTAAGAGACTCCGATCATTCATTTATCCGTTTTAAACATTTAAGTTTTAAGTAAAACTACTTTAAGATATATCTCTTTGTATTTTGTTTTAATTTTGTTTTTAATCTTTATACAAATATACTAGTTTTAATACTAAAATGTTTATTGCTCTAGTGTTTTGTTTCCTTAATTTTTTAAAATAAATTATGTTTTAGAAGAGGTTCCATCGTGACCGCTTTTAATCCTATAGCGAACCGTATATCTATTTAAGTATTTTTAATAAGACATAAGTCGCCTTTCTTAATAGCTTGATCAAGTTTCCTTATCCGTTTCAGCCTATCAAACACTCACCGCTGACCATAGGCCTTCCCCATGACTAACCTCATAGTGGGTATATTTGCCATAATAACCACGCTTGGCAAGCGGGTTGCGACCGCAGTTTTTTTTTCATTATAATTACAAATTATTTTATACGTGGTGGAGCCACGCTGCAGCTATATTATGGTTGCAGCACGAATGGGTCGGCTCCATCGTAAAATAGCAGCTTAACACTGCTGTGTTTCGAATAGTGAGTGCAGAGATCCGGAGATTTTTTTTCTGGAAACAAGGCACTCCATCGGGCAGGATTAAGATGGAAACCTCAGGGGTGACAACGCATCTGCATTTTGATTCCTAATCGAGGATAAATGTAGATGTCTATGGGCCACAGCATACATTTACCATCAGGTGGACTGTGTGCGCGTTTGTCACCATTATCTTATAAAAGAAGGAAGACGCTGCTGCCCGTCTCCTGTTTTTATTTTCACTTTACAAGCAAGCTTAATAGTAATTATAGAAAACCCGACTGCATTAAAAAATTAATTGAAAAAATACATTGCCCTCCCATGTTTTGATATTCACGGGAGCAATATATAAATATCGCACATGTTACTTCCACAATTAAAAAAAAGAGTGTAGTTATGACCACACACGACTGAAGTAAAACTTCTTTAGCTCCATCTGTATGTATATATATACATATATATATATATTATTTATATATGCTTATATATAATATATACATGTATATACATATACATATATCAATTTTCTACAAATATTTAAATTTTTTATCGGCTTCCTTCCATAATTTGTTATAATTCACGCGCGCACTGCTCTCTCTTACTTATATCCACTACTCATCTCTCGTTCGTCTCGCCCGATCACACTTTTCGTAACGCTTTTGTCACGCGTTCGCCAGCTTAAGCGGGCTACATACGAGATGATATCGGTGGCGATCTAGGGTGGAGTAGTGGGGATGCCTCCTAGATTGCCTCTATATCGTGTCGTATGTAGGGCCATCCTAAGTCGCGGCCGATATCGCCTCCTTAATCGGCTGGCAGGATCAAAAATGCAGCCGATGCTTCCTAGATCGGGGTCCCGCCCCCTCCGTACTGCGTGTGTGCAGGCGAATCGGCCCGATTTCTTTTGGCAGTCGCTGCCGGCAGCCCTCGCGGAAGGACGTTAATGAAATAGTGAAACTGAATGGCCTTTTTTACATAACAAAATTTTTACATTTTAAACATGTGAACGGAGTAGAAGCCTATGGCACTGATATTTTACAAAAAACAAAAAAAAAATTTGAATAAATAAATTAATTAAAATCTATCGAAATTCAAATCATATCCACCCTAGCCCGTGATCTGGCGAAGTCAAGAAAGCATACTAAACTAACTGTTTTATTGCCGTTCATAAAGTAGGGTGTATGAAGTAAGTAACGAGAAGATAAAGCCTCTCCTCAACAGTCAACAACTAACTCCTATTCCCACGCTATCAACACAAGACCGCACTCAGATCTCTTACGTGCCTTCATCCTCTCATCAACAACTAACTCCTACTCCTTCACCATTTCCACATCAACAAACAAGCTATATAGAAGGGAGTATGTCCGAAATTAAAGGTTTCTTTATGTTTAAAAAAGATATAAGCTATTTTATTTTTGATAGTTTTAATCCATAAATAAAGATTACATTAAAAAACTCCGAATTAAAAAAATAGTTGGGAAAAAAAAATAGAAAAAATAATTATATTTATTGGAACACACAAACACACCCCCCCCCCCCAGCGACCGCCCCCCACAAAAAAAAACGACGTAGCCACGCCCCACCCCCAACCCCCCCCCCCCCCGGGGGGGGGCCCGCAAAGCAAAAGTATACATATTATTATACAAAAGTATTTTATTTCTTTGTTTGTTGTGTGTAGTACATAACCCGATTTTGACCAAAGCAGAAATGAACAAAGAGAAGAAATAACTAAATAGCATAGGTTGGAGTCATATAATAGAAATCATAAATATAGAAAAATTCTAGAAGGTTATAAAAACTGTCTTCATCCATCCGGAGAAAATTAACCATGTCTTTGGATTACAGACCATTTAGTACTTTTATGTGGCTTAATTTTTGTCTCTTTTGGAGCCATTTTTTCACCCAGCAACTCCTCTTTATTTTTATTTTCGAATAAATTAACCAAGATGGCTAATTCCAAACCAACACGTTGGTGTTTTAAGAGAGTCGGAGGCATTTTGAAGAACTCTACCGCATATGCGTTCATGCAAGTCCAAACGCGTACTGCTAGGTAGACCCGTGTGTAGGGTCTGCCTCGATAAAAGCCCCGATTTCTTTCCACCCTAGATCGCCACCGATATCGTCTCGTATGTAGCCCGCTTTACTCTCCAAGTCAAGCGTGCGTAAAGAAGTTTTACTTCAAAAATCCATCAAGCCGTTTGGGCTACCGATCGTGTCAAAGAAATAGACATACATACGAGTACATATTCTCGAAAAACATTAATTACCCTTTTTCTAAAGCAAACGGTGAATACAAAATTTTTCGTTCAAAAAATCTTACCAAGGTCGCATGCACCGGTAAACGTTACGGCGGCGGGCGGCGTGTCCACTAGACCGGATAATACCGATTTAGCAAGATTCCTTTTTTTAAATCAGATTAGCAGTTTTAACTGTGGCTTGGTTGTGTTTGTCTTATTTGCTTTAAGAAAGAGATTCTCATTTCGTCGGAATATATTATTTTATGTATGTTCATTGATAATTTCTTACCACGTTGTCCAATTTCAATTATTAAAATAAGTTAGTCTCATATATAGATTAAAACTACTTTTACGGATTCTATCGTGTTTAATTTTAATTTTAATTATTTTTATTTTTAATTCACGACGTTTAGGGTGCTTTCCAACTTTAGCTAACTAAACCCAAGCATACCACTACAAGAAGTCAAGACATAGTTCATTTTGCATAGATCGGACCATAAACAATAATTAAAAAAGCTGAAGGTACTTCGGATTTAACAATGACATCGGGACGTCAGTCACCTTAGTCCCCCGTGACCATGGGTGCTGGAAAGCACCCGAAACGTCGGAAAAAAACGACAAAATCCGTAAAAGTAGTTTTAATCAATGTGTAGTGTTCGCGTAAATATAAAAAAATCATTAGTCTCATATATCTGGTCAAGATCTAATGATGGGATCCACGAGAAAAACAATAAACCACTATTTCATACGCCATGCTACAACTACAACTATATTATGATTTTAGCAAGAATAGCCGGTTCGACCGGGAGAGGAAGACGCTATAACAATATTAGCATATAA